GGCCCGGAGAAGAAAAGAGCCGGTAGGGGCTGGGTCCCAGCCGTCTGGCCGGGGCCGAGAGGGTGGCTGGTGGGAAGGAGACTGCGGGACTCGACTTCTTTCCGAGAGCTCCAGGCACTGGATGTGGGTCGTTTCATGGTCCCATTCGGGGAAACTGAGGCACCCGAATGCCTCTTGACTCAGCTCCCTTGGGCGTCACACCGGGAGCCGCCGCCGCCCCGAAATGACTGCGGCAGCCGCTTTCCGGACTCGCACCCACCCCTCCTCCGTCTGCAGCACGTTTCCACGCCCCGGGGCTCCGGGGAGCCTCCAACACACAGCTCTGACCGCGACGCCCTGGTGTCGCGGGAAAAGTCCAAAGCTCACCTTGGGGCCACCTGATCACAATCCAGAGGTGCATGATTTGGGATGGGGAAGGCATTTCGTCTTTACTTTCATAACCTCTGAAATTTAGCATCCCTTCCCATCTTTCTTTCCTGTGAGCAACAAGCCACAGTAGCAGGGACAATACCTGTTACTTTGTCCTGTCAAAAGTCACAGATTTTCATATCCCATTACAATCTTTGCAGATAAATGTTGGAAAAAATAATTTACATTCATTCTTACTTTAAAGTTACAATAACTTTTAAACCCTAGAGCTAAAGAATCTCTAGCCCAGGTGGCGGGGCTCAGTGGTTGATCTTCCTTCCACCCATGAACCAGGAGGTCACAGTTCGATTCCTGGTCAGGGCACATGGTGGGTTGCGGACTGGTCCCCAGTAGGGGGCGTGCTGGAGGTAGCCCATCAATGATTCTCATTATTGATGTTTCTATCTGTCCCTTCCCTCTCTGAAATCAATTAAAATATATATATATATTTAAAAGAATCTCTAGATCTTATTGAATGCATTAAAAAGGAAGCACACATAATAGTATGCCAGGTTTGGTTTTTTACTGTTATGGTAACTGAATTTCAACATAATTGTGTGTTTTTTGTAATCCTATGTGTGTGTGTGTTTAATATATTTTTATTGATTTCAGAGAGGAAAGGAGAAGGGAGAGAGAGAAACATCAATGATGAGAGAGAATCATTGATCAGCTACCTCCTGCACACCCCCTGTTGGGAATGTAGCCAGCAACCTGGGCATGTGCCCTTGACTGGAATTGAACCTGGGACCCTTCAGTTTGCACGCCGAGGCTCTATCCACTGAGCCAAACCAGCTAGGGCCTATGTGTTTTATTTTATTCATTTAAAACATTATTCTGAGAAGGGATCCAAGCTATACAGACTGCCAGAGCAGGCCATGGTACAGCATGGTTTAAAACCTACTTTTGCCCAGTTGGCATGGCTCAGTGGTTAAGGGTTGACCTATACTGATAAACCAGGAGGTCACGGTTCAATTCCCGGTCAGGGCACATACCTAGGTTTTGGGCTTGATCCCCAGTGTGGGGTGTGCAGGAGGCAACCGATCAGTGATTCTCTCTCATCTTGATGTTTGTATCTCCCTCTCCCTTCCTCTTTGAAATCAATAAAAATATATTTTAAAATAAAATAAAATAAATAGGTCGGCCAGTGGACTGAAGGGTCTTGGGTTCAATTCCAGTCAAGGGCACATGCCTCTGCCTCTACCAATTGACGTGTTTATCTCTGCTTCGCGCCCTCCCATTCTCTCTAAAATACAATGGAAAAATATCCTCAGGTGAGGAGTAAAAATAAATAAAATAAAAATAAAACCCCTGCTTTTGTTTAAAGGACTTATAAGCCCTTTTGTAATCCATTCCCTGCCTGCTTCTCCTTTCTTGCTGTCCTGCCACACTGCACTTCCCATAGGTAGGCTCCTGCCTCCCTCCCCTGACTTGTTTTCTTTCCCTATACTTATTATTAATTATACTAATAAGGCCCGGTGCATGAAATTCATGCACTGGGGGGTGGGTCCCTCAGCCTGGCCTGCGTCCTCTTGTAGTCCAGGACCCATCGGTGGATGTCTGCCTGCCAGCAGCTGGACATTCCTCTTGCAGTCTGGGAACCCTCGCTCCTTACCACCCGCCTGCTTGCTGCTCCTTAGTCCTGCCACTGCTGCTGCGCTCGCCAGCCGTGAGCCCAGCTTTTGGCTGAGTGACACTCCCCCTGCGGGAGCACACTGACCACAAGGGGCAGCTCCTGAATTGAGTGTCTGCCCCCTGGTGGTCAGTGCACATCATAGTGACTGATTATTCTGGTTGTTCTGCCATAATGATCGCTTAGGCTTTTATTATATAGATATATGTATATATCCTATCTAATAAAGAGGGAATATGTTAATTTGACCCTCACTGTCACAAAGATGGCGGTGCTCACAGCCAATAAGGAGGGAATATGCTAATTGACTGTCCCACCCTCAAAAGATGGTGGCATCCACAGCCAATAAGTAGGGAATATGATAATTGACTGCCACGCCCTCAAAGATGGCGGTGCCCATAGCCACAAGATAGTGGCGCCCAGTCCCTCAACCCCATGCACCTGCCTCCAGAGTCCCCCAGTCCCCTCACCCCCCCAGCCACCCAGGGCCGGCCTGAGGCACAGGCAAGCCTCGGATGGTGGCTGCCCAGTTGCCCAGGGCCACCCAAGGCTCAGGTAACCAGGGCCAGCCGAGACTTGCACTGCCGACAGTGGCAGCAGCAGAGATGTGATGGGGCATCGCCTTCCCCTGATCGCTGGGTCGCCTCCCACCCCTGAGGGCTCCAAGACTGTGAGAGGGGGCAGGCCGGGCTGAGGGACACCCCCCTCCAGTGCATGAATTTTCATGCACCGGGCCTCTAGTGGTATAATATGAGAGATCTTCAGGTAATTTCTGGTTTAATACCCCTAGACTCAGGCAGGTTGATTTGGTTAATTACTGATAACAGATATGGGGGTGATCAGGCTGGCAGGCAGAAGCAGTTAGGGGCAGGCAGGCAGGCAAGCGGTTGGGAGCCAGCAGTCCTGGATTGTGAGAGGGATCCCAGATTGGTGAGGGTGCAGGCTGGGCTGAGGGACCCCTCACCCCCCCGCCCCATGCACAAATTTCATGCACTGGGACTCTAGTATGAATATAAATAATTGTGGGGTTTTTGTGTCATCTGCCCAGTGGAGATAATGGTGACCCCTGTAATGGGATTGTTGGAAAGAGTCAATGAGTTATACATGTAAATCACTTAAAATCATGTGTGGCATACAACAGATGTTGTCATTTCCTCTATAAATACCTCAGTTTTCATTATTTCCACAGATGCTGCAAATAATCAGTTGCCAACTACCCAGCCGAGCCTCAGGTACTGCGCACTTTGGGTTCAGGTTCATACATTCATTTAACAAATATTTCCCCTGCAATATGTCAGTGCTGGGTTAAGTCATGGGATAACAGGGTGAATGAGACACATGTAGTCCCTGCCCGCATGGGGGCAGCTTCTGAGCTGGCAGAAAGTGAGGTCCTTCTGTGTGTGTTGTAGGCATAAGGTGGATGAGCACGAACAAGATGGCAATGAACTTCAGACCACCCCCGAATTCCGAGCCTACGTAGCCAAGAAGCTGGGAGACCTGCTGGACAGGTAACCAAAAGCATACCTTCTCTTCCCCCACCCCCAATAATAGGAACAGTAAGGGCTCATACTGGCTGGGAGCTCACCGTGAGCAAGTCGGCCCCTGTGGCAAGCGCATGGCATACGACACCTCATTGCATTCAGAACCACCTGGCCACGCAGGTCCTGTCATTCTCTAGATGAGGAGACAGAGGCTCTTCGTGAGAAGCAGCATTTGCTGGAGTCACAGAGAGGAAGGAGCAGATCTGGGACTCAAACCCAGGTGTGTTTGACTCCAAAGGCCTTGCTTTTTTTTTTTTTAAATATATTTTTATATATTTCAGAGAGGAAGAGAGAGAGAGAGAGAGAAACATCAATGATGAGAGAGAATCATTGATTGGCTGCCTCCTGCACATCCCCTGCTGGGGACCAAGCCCGCAACCCGGCATGTGCCCTTGATCAGAATCAAACCTGGGACCTTTCAGTCTGCAGGCTGACACTATCCACTGAGCCAAACCAGCTAGGGCCTTGCTCTTAAGCTCTGTGTTGTCCTGCTCCCATGGGACAAGAAGCACCACAGAAGCAAGAGCCCATTCACAAAAGGGCAAGGGACAGACAGAATTACTGTGTGGACCCTTTCCGTATATCAGGCACTGTGCCAGTTCTCTGTCTTACATTTGAGAATCTACACTAATAAAAGACAAACATGCAAATTGACCATACCTTTGGCTATGCCTTAAGCCATGCCCACCAGCCAATCAGAGTGACTATATGCAAATTAACCCAACCAAGATGGCAGCCAG